TGTTCATTAACTATACACACACATACATACATACGTATTCATACATATTTTCGCTATATTTTTACAAAGACAGTAAAACTTCATTATTGGACATTTTTATTTAATCGCCATGTGCAAGAAGTAAGAGGGTCCATGGGAAGGTAAAGACATCAAATACACAGTGCAGGCAAAATGACAAGAGTTTATTATACATTGTTGTACAGTATTAAGCATTAACTGGTCGCGTTTGGTGCTGGGGCTTTCACTACCTTGTAGCAAAACGCTATGTACTGTACGTCTGCATATAATTTAGGGCTCTGTGATGTGCTTTACCACTGCAAATGGCACACAATCACTTTTGACACCGCAAGAGCCACTTTCCATACTGTTGTTTTGCTTTTTCACTCCCAAATTACACATTCCCAAGAATCTTTACATCTCAAGGAATCGTACTGTGTTGTGATGAGTTGGTAGAACAGATGATAACCTGGGTCAAGCCTGCACGTAACAAGGCAGTTTGTAACTGTCAGTCATTTGTGAAAATATCTAGCATGATCCTAAAATGCAGTATCTGACTGGCGGGGCTGACTAAGTCTACGTGCAGCTTTGTCGCGTAGTCATCAAACGCTCCACTTTCCGTTAACATGAGAAACACAAGCCTGAGCACTATACGGCGATCACGTAAAGGCATAAACTAAGAGATATAACTCAGAAAAATAACAATAGAGACAACTTTCAAACGGCACAAACTATTGCGATCGGTTTGGTCGAAATCAGACACAAATGGGAGGGGGGACAACATTTCAAACATTAATATCTCAGAAACTAAAGCAGCACAAAAGACAGTTTTAACGGCACAAACCAGCACAAACGCAGTACATACGATTGCGATCGGTTTGGTGGAAATCAGACACAAATGGGGGGCTAACTTCACGCTGGTGTCACGTGACCATGTAAACAACATTAATATCTCGGAAACTAAAGCAGAACAAAGGACAGTTTTAACGGCACAAACCAGCACAAACGCAGTACACACGATTGCGATCGGTTTGGTGGAAATCAGACACAAATGGGGGGCTAACTTCACGCTGGTGTAACGTGACCATGTAAACAAACATTAATATCTCAGAAACTAAAGCAGCACAAAGGATAGTTTTAACGGCACAAACCAGCACAAACGCAGCACACACGATTGCGATCGGTCTGGTGGAAATCTGACGCAAATGGGGGGCCAACTTCACGCTGATGACGTCACAATGTAAACACACATTTATATCTCAGAAACTAAAACAGCACAAACAAAAATTTTAACGGCACAATCCGGCACAAACGTTGTTTCTTTTTTTCTTTTTAAACAGTGGTTTATTGAACAAAGTATGACTGACTTTCTTAAATAAACAGTTTCTGTCAATACTGCTGCAACCTACTAATAAAAAACTAAAATTTACTAAATTTAAGTAAATCAAAATAAGTATTCTCTCATGTAAATAAAAATAAAATAAATTTCCATTAAGGTGCACATTTAGAAAATTCACTGAACCTGATGTGCACCGTATTCACATTAGCAGGTTTCAGCTTCATATTAGAACTGTGCAATATTAATATAATCTGAAAAATACAAAGCATAACAAAATAAATGGCCATTATGGTGCAGTAGTTAAAAGAAATACCCATGCTGTACTTGTATTTACATTAACAACTTCCAGCTTCACACAGATGTACGTGCACATGTGTAGTGGCACGGCTTCATCCGCCCCTTTCTGAATGTTGCTCAGGGGTTAGAGATTCAGCATTTGCTGCATTCGTTCAGACCCTATGCTTAACAAACCGAAATACCCATACCGAACATTTTCGGTACGAATATATGTAGCGTTACACTCCTATTGGCTATATTTCTTTGCTGGATGGAATTGGAGGAAAGAGTCCCAATTGAATTTTATATCGAAAGTGAGTTTTCACAGCAGTATAGATTTATAAAACAGTGTGTCATATACCTCAATGGGAAAGTTGGAACAGCTATTATGCTCTCTGCTGTACCTCCACTTCTCCAGCTCCTAGTAGCTTTGTTTTCTTATGCTACATGGAGATTTCAGATAGTTCTGACAGGGATATTTCTGGAGTTCACAAGTCCACATTCTGCACAAATAGGTACTTTCACATCACCAGAACATTTTTATGGAACCAGGACCTTTTTCTGGAATCAGGGACTTTTGCTGTGTTCACACTGCAGGAACTCAGTCCAACTGTAGCTCTTCGGAGGCAGTTCCAGAACCCATTACTAGTACCTACTCCAGAGTGGGTACTTTTTGTTCCAACATGAACTACTGGGGAGGCGCTTAAAGCGATAACTCACTGACTGGTTGACCACAAGCATCGGAGATAACATGGAAGTTACGCAGAAGTACAGAAAAACAGATGTAGAGGAGCAAAAATTGAGCAGATGTAATTATTTTGTACCACAATTACATTTAATGCATCAATTAGTACATTTTTTGCTTGCATTTCCATATTTCTGCATTGGAAAATTAGATTGATAACCAATTATACTTTTCTCTAGTATCATTGGTGTGGTGATGAAATTTGCCGGTGCTTATTAGCAGAATAATATTTCATCACTTTTTATCGATCAATCAGCTGGCCAGATTTAATAACCATAAACATGTTGCGGGTCATAAGTAAAATATAAATAACAGACTGTGTACTGTTTTGATTGCAGTCAATCCCCCCAATCATTTTGGCATGGTGCAGATACAGACTGGTAGGCGGGACAGCCATGGCAGCTGCCCCAGGGCACCAGATATTTTTGGTCCAGCCCCTTTGACATCAAAGGCCCCTTTCCAACAGCAAATCTCATATATGTGAAATATTTCTGAGGATTAAGGCACTGATGTGATGCATATTATATGAAGTCATGACATGCTACTTTCTATCTCTATCATAATTTCTATACAATCTCATTATGGTGGGAGTCAACACAAAACAGATATGGTAACACTTAAAGACGTTATTATTCTGCATTATACATACCTCTATAATGCATTGCAATGCAATTACAAAGTATTATAAACACAGTTATAGCTATTTTTAAAAAGGCATAACACATTATAGTTGTATATAATGCAGTATGAATGCTCTATACAGGTCTGATCTTAATGCACTATAATGACCTACATAATGCAGTACAAATCATCCTTAATTCAATTGCTGACCATTATAATGCATTTTGAAATTATACATCAGACTTTCATAGAGCATTCATAATGCATGAGAAACATAGCTATAATTTGTTGCACGTTTTTATACATATTTATAGCCATGTTTATAATACTTTATAAATGCATTGTAATGCATTATGAAGGTGTCTTTAATGCATTATTAAAGAGGGCTTCATAAAAATAACTAAAAATATTTGGTGCAATAAAAATTTGACATACGGTAGTTTGTAATGTTTTGTAGTCAAACTATGTTGTCAAGGCATGCCTTTGATGAAAAAAGCATGTTTGTGGAATTTGCTAACTACTGCAGTGCATGATAGGTATGATATTTGGAGGCTACTTAAAATTCATTATCTGCAGCTGCTGCAACTGGCATAAGAAAGCCCTAAGTGTGAATTTCAAAAGAGGGGGTGGCATGGTCCATTTTTGCCCCAGGGCCCAGTGTACAGTTGTTGTGGTGTAGTTTCATATAAAATTCTGTGAAGTTTACCCTACCATCTTTTTGCATCTCCCATGCTTATTTAGCATAAAGGTCCCAGTTCCTGTTGTGCATTTTGTCAAAGGCAATTGTATGTTTAAAGGATCATTACCTTCATTTTGACTCAAGGAGGGAGACAGGACTTACAAGACAGCAGGTTTTCCAGGAGTAATTGGAGCTGTTGACTACTACAATTTGATTACTAACTCAGGTTGTGAAAATTGGGAACTTTTACGTAAATGAAAAAACAAATGTCCAATTAATGTCCAAGTTGTTTGTAAAAAGTAAATCAACATACCTCAGAGGTATTGATACAGGATAAATAGGGCTACATTTGATTACAATTAGCAACCAATAGAAAATGTTGAAGACTTGAGTATAACTAATTTTGTAATATTTACTATAAAAATTTATTGTAAAGAATATGTTCAGTCAGGTTTAAATTATACTGGGCAATTTTCTTGACTGTCTGGATGGCAGCATGTAGATAGAGAACAATATACTATAGGACCAAACCATGTCAAATGCCACACTAAGGTACAGAAGCATCAGCACAGTGACATTGGCAGAATCAGTTGCCATTGTTATGATATTTATGACTCTGGTTAATAGTAACAATTTTGTGAATTCTATACAGCTGGAAAATTTCTTTATAAATTCAGGTTCAACACCTAGATCAATAGCGCAAGAACAATATCTACTGTCATTGAAAACCAAAGTCTTTGGGATACAAATTTTGTGTTCTCTGTTCTAGGTACAACAGATTCTTACATATGAAGATTCAGTAGCAGCTCATCTGTCTAAGATTCTCACTTCAGACCAGCACTCTGTGGTTATCTCATCTGCAAAGTATGTTAGTCTACCTGCCTCAAATTACACCTGCCTGTATAATTTTAGTACTTGTCTGTCTGTCTAATCTCTATGTCTCTAGCCAGAAGAATATTTTTTTAATGTAAATGTGGTTGCTGTTATTTCTGTCTTATTTTAGTCCCTGAAGCTTAAGCACATGTTGTAGGGATGCCAGTCCTTGTCTCACTTTGTATTTTTTATGTGATTTGTTGGCTTTTGGTTTGTGTTTTCAGTAACACTTTACTTAACACTTTATTTCATCCATCCATCCATCCATCCATTATCTCCCGCTTATCCGAGGTCGGGTCGC